GGGCATTGAGTGCCCGAGTTGCATCCTCGTGGCTCTGCACTGTGCGGCGGAGCGTCGCCAACTCCTGATACTGTCTCTCCAACTCTGACCTTTGGTAGTTGCAAGCGTACAGCAACCGCGTCACGAGTTTGGAGAGGAACTCCTTGTGCTTCTCTTCCGGTGTTGCCTCGTCGCCGTTCGGTTTAAAATGCCAGTACTTGAGTCTGTCGATGCTGTTGGCTTCATGCCGCTGCAGCAGATCCTGGGCTTCCTTGCGGCGAGCCTGGGCATCTGCGTCTGCATCGGCCTATAGCCGCAGCTTCTTTGCTGCTGCTGCCTCTTCAGCCTGTACGCGGGCAGCCTCGACTGCCAGCAGGCGTTGTTCCTCAGCCTCTATTTGAGCCAGGCAACGCTGCTTGTAGGCGGCAATGGTCTCATTGGCCCGTTATGTTGCTGACGTGGCACTGCTGCTTACGTGGCACTGCTGATGTGGCACTGTCTGACGTGGTACTGCTGACGTGGCACTGTGTCGAATGTCACTGCTGACGTGGCACTGTGTCTGACGTGGCACTGCTGTTGTGGCACTATGTGTGATGTGGCAATGTGACCTGGCACTGCTGACGTGGCACTGCTGATCTGGCACTGTGACGTGGCACTGCTGACGTGGCACTGCTGAGGTGGCACTGTACCGAAACGGGATGCATGCAAGGGGGTGGGTGGGAGGAAAAACGGAGGGAGGTAACCAACCCAACAATACTTTCCTCCGGCCCTAATCAACAGATAAAATAAAAAAAATAAAAATAAAAGAGGGCTACTTCCTTTTTTTTTTTTTTTGTATATATCTGTCGATTTATGACGAGTAGGATATGTCAGAAGGGTATTATGAACGAGATCTAGGCTAGGTACCGCAAAGTTTTGGCTCTTACAAACTGCTATCTTGAAAAAATTTTGCGAAATGGAGTAAAGATGCGATTTTGAGAAAAGGACGAAATCCAGTTTCTGATAATATAGCAACCTCCGAATATGCCTAACGCAATATTGGTAGGCTTCGCAAGATTCGGTTTTCAAAAAAAATTTTGCGAGATAGAAATGAAATGCAATTTTCAGAAAAGAATAATTTCAGTTTCCGAGAATATGACCACTTCTATCGTTATCCCAATATGCCTAGAGAACGGAAATACTAACTTCAGAAATTTCAGCTATGTATGCCATCTATCAGAGAAACGAAATGCTACTATCGGGAATTTTCAGACAAAACGAAATGCGATTTATCAGAAATTTTCAGATATTTGTCAGGTAAAAACGAACTACTAATATCAGAAATTTTCAGATAGAACGAAAATGCGAATATCAGAAATTTCAGATAGTTGTTGCGAAAAAAATTTTTCAGAGATTTGACGAAGTCCTACTTGCGTTACTAATGAATGATCAATAGATCGCAAGCTGGCTACTTGATTGAGCGGGTCCTCTGTATGAGAGGTCCGCTCCGATACCAAATTGTTGCATACTGTAACGTGCAACCAGAACAAGAACCGACCTTTCAATACAAAGTTTGAGATAACACAGCGGAAGACTTAGATACCATTGATCCGAACAATCAATGTTGTAATGCAGCCTTGAACATACATCATCATCATCGTTTCGTAGTGTGAATGGGTCTGGCACTTCACACAGGAAGACAGCGCCAGCCCAGAACATGCGTAGAGGAGGAGGAAGGGGATAGACGAAGAGGAGGGGGAAGATGGGAATGTCGTTAACACCAAGTCTTCGGCACAAGCCCAAATAGTCCCTCGTCGAACTGTCTGAATCCCAAATGTCAAGTCTGGATCCAATGTCGTCAAGTCTCAAGTCACAACTCTGTCTCTSTCTGTCGTAGTCTGAGAAGTCAGGTGGMGAGAGGGWGAGAAGAGAAGGTGGACTTAGAAGAGGAAGAAGAAGAACTCTCTCTCTCTCTCTCTGTGTCCAGTACTAACCTGTGAAGTTGGCGTCTTGATGCAGGTACCACGAAGATGGAGCTGGAGCGATGGYGCCACASGTAAGTAACACTGGCCTCCGCCAGTCTCTCTCCCACTCTACGATCTACCACCTACCAGCGCCCAGCGCTGAAGACTACAGCTACAGCTATGGCGGCCAGCGCAGAAGACTACACCTAGCGCTACCGCTACTGCCTAGCGCTGAAGACTACTGCAGCGCTCCTCCTGAGTGCTGCGGTCGAATCCTGAAGACTACTCGTGCCTACTGACCCTACCTACCCGTGAAGTGCATGGGGAGCCTCCTATGTAAACGGGTGTGCCTCTTGAGCCTGCCGAGGGGAGGCAGGGGCTGCAGCTGCAGCTCCTGCTCGAGCACGTGAGGAACAGGCTATTTTGGGCCTGTTCCGCATCCCTGTTTCCGTGCCTGAGTCTTAGGGGCAGGTCRAAACAATGAGGGCCTGAAAATGGCCCTCCGTTTCAGGCTGAAAACTCTGGGTCTGAAAAGACCCAGAAATAGGCTGAAACGAGGTAGGGCCTGCAGGCCCTCGTTTTTCAGCATCCAGGCTGAAAGGAACGGGGCCTGTAAGCCCTAAGTTTTAGGCTTTTAGGCTGAATGTCTGGGACGGGCCCTGCAGGGCCCGTGTGGCTACGCAGTATGCCACACCTGGACACACAGAATACAGCAGAACGCGGACTTAAAAAATCAGCAAATTGGACCTGATCATTTTCAAAAGATTGAAGCACAGCAACCATTCTCTATACAGACCGTTAGAGCAGACGACTGTAGAATCACACGAGATTTTGAGAGAACAGACAAAATATAATTATCCTTTTACTCTGCCTCCTTTTATAACGGGCAAGTGGGCTGTAAAGGCATGTTGGCAGTTGGCGCTCAACCATCGTCAACGTGGCTAGCCTTGTACGTGACAGGCACAGTAAGAAGGTAACTACAAAAAGAAAGAAAATGGGAGGCCTCCCAATGCTAGCTGATGAAAATATATAGTCAAGAAAACGATATAACAAATTTATTGTGTTTCGTATTGTTTTTACTGCGGGGTTGGCCCATCTGTGTGTTGCATTGCTTGTGTAATGGTGATATTCCTTGCTTGTTTAAAGGTAAGGTGCTGAATAGATATTGACTTCACAAGCAAAACTGTTGCATTGGTGGATTGGCTCATCTTGGGAATGCTTCATTGTCTGCAATACAGGAAAAGTTGCTATGACTTTGAATCTACTCATCTGGGTGGAATAGGGGAAGTTGTGGTGATATTTTATAACACACTGGCGCTCGTGCCCACCTGCAGTGCCGCACTCGTTTTCAAGCGTGTGCGCCCTGCCGTGCTCCGCCTGCTCTCTCTCTCTTACTGTCTGTTCCTTACCTGAAGGTCCTGTTTGAAGTCTGGAGGTACCTGTTCAAGTCATATACTTGGTGGTGGGGGGGGGGGGGG